CAGCTGTAGTGAATAGGGCGAGGTAGATGACATCTAGATGTCGCCCTATGTACTACGTTTGCTACAGCGGAAATAGACGACACGCCATTTCTTTAAATAAAATTAATTGGTGCTCGTTTGTATGTAACTACATACATATGTAAATGCATGTGTGTGCACCTTTCTATTAATATCGTTGAATTATTTTAATATCTATTGCAAAATTTTATTCAGACAGGACTAAAAAGTAGAAAATAAATAATATAAAAAAAACTTTTTAATATACAACGCTTTTATAAATGGACTAAAAAGTAGAAAATAATACTTCTCAGTCCCATAGAATTTGTTTTGATAACTTTTGATTTTGAAATTTTAGCAAAAGTCATTATAAACAATCTATGAAATTGAAAATGAAAAGCGTGGGGCGCATGTAATACACTGGAATTGATATGAAAAGTAATATATCAATGTATGTATGTGGGTATATGAATAACGACCGCTTAAAATCGATTTCAAAGTTCTACTTTCGCTGTAGAAATTTTAGGTCTACGTTATGTAGTTTGACTATTGTCAATTAAATCGAATGCTTTGTATTGCATGCGCTCCACGTTTTTCATTTTCAATTTCATAGATTGTTTATAATGACTTTTGCTAAAATTTCAAAATCAAAAGTTATCAAAACAAATTCTATGGGACTGAGAAGTATTATTTTCTACTTTTTAGTCCATTTATAAAAGCGTTGTATATTAAAAAGTTTTTTTTTTTATTATTTATTCTAGGGCTGTGCGATTAATTGATTACTCAAAATTTTAATTAATCATAAAGTAAATAACTCAATTATTCGATTATTCGGAAATTATGATTACTCAAAAGTTCAGTTACTCGAGTAATCAAGATTTTTGATTAACCAAAAACAAAAATATTTGAGTAATTTGCTTTATGATTAATCAACATTTCGAGTAAAATGAGTAATCAACATTTCAACTCTTTACATATGTATAAAGTAGCTAAAGTTCCTTGATACTTTGAAAACAACGTTTCTGTTTTCAAAAATTAAAACAAAATTTTTTTTTCATATACAGAATGTAAAAAAGAAAATAAGCATTTTCCAAAGCAAACTCTTTTAACGAGCAAAATTATTTTGTTTGAGTAATCATATTTCAAGTAACTCGATTAATTATCGTTTTGAGTAATCAAAATCTTGATTACTCGAGTAATTGATTAACCGAATAATTGATTAACCAACTTGCTCGAGTAATCGAATAATCGCACAGCCCAAATTTATTCATTTGTTAAGCCAACACAATCAAGCGCAGCTATTCCGCTGCAATTCACACTTGATCATGTGGGTGTTGGTTTTACATATACATGTTGTTATTATTTACATATAATAATAAAAAATAATTTTTTACCAAAGAATCTATTTCTAACTTCAAAGGCCCATATCTTTATTTCGGAGGCTAACTTCGAAAAACGGAGAAATCACTTTTTTACCTATGACTCAATCTCTTAAAAAAAATTGGTTTAGTCCAATACCCAACGGAGCGCTGTACAGTGTAATGATTCAAGTATCTTCATTTATGTATATTGTAACTATCAATATCTTATAAAGAGAAGTGTAAAAGTTTTTTATCTAAAACTAATAAAGGTAGAAGGACGAAATTCGAGGATGTGGTAGTTAACATATAAGTCCTTGACATATTTTTTCACAA